TTTTTTTTTTTTTTTTTTGTACAGGCCTGGGCAGAGTTTGTTCGCATTATTGATCCTGACATCATAACCGGCTACAATATTCAGAATTTTGACTTTCCATATCTAATCAACAGAGCACACTGTCTTAAGGTAAAGTTAACACAATTTTTAATACAGTGTCGCTTGTTTAAAATTAGTGCAAATAAAATGTTTATAGCTCAAATGAGAAGAGCTGCGTAGGGTGACAATGCTGCTTCTCTATAGATACGGTAAGGTGAGAAAGTGTTGTCACCCTAGGACAGTAAGAGTTAAATTTTACTTTCTTGTAGCTGTCCAATTTGTAATCAGGATTTTCCAGATACCTTATCCACCACATCCTGTAATTTTGCCTGTTTTTATTTCCCCCTCTGTATGGTACTTGAGGTCAAAGTACATGCAACGTATACATGAAATGTTGGTATCCTGCCAGTGTTCTTCAGTGTAAGATACAGCATTCTTCTAGTTACAACACTAGGCATAATCATACAATTATATTAAAATTAATCTAAATAAAGAATTCAGATACATAGGTGGTCAATTTACCTGCCAATTGATTTACAAATCTGTTTTTGCTCCAGGCAGCACAGAGAGGTCATATGCCCTCCCTGCAGACTCTTCTGCAGTTAGGTGATACAGATCCACCCCGGTGATTGGATAGTGTAGGAGCAGAAGCATATTGATGAGATCATCTCTCTGCTCTCCCCATCCTGGAAGTACTTTCATAGCAGCAGTGGGCAAACCACTAGAGCCCTGATTACTTTGAAGTGCTTACCTTCTCCTAGTCTCAGTCCTTCTAAATAAGACGAGAAGGTCTTTTGGAATAGAAGGTTAATGCCTTAAAGCTGAGCTCTAGACAGATATGAAAGACACAATAATTGCAGCCCTGTAATCATTGATATTTCATTTGTGACAGGAGATCAGTACACAATCTCCCTCCGAGCTCTGCTTCATCAGCTTCTTTGGGGGTCCCTAGGTGACATTAGGGCTCTTAAAGACCCCCTGATGTCTTCATAAAGAGGACCTGTCACGTTCTCTTTGCTATCACATAAGGGGCTTCTTAGCCCCCTATGTGATAATAAGCTTAAGTGTAAAAGAAAAATTAAAGTTCACCCCAAAAAAGTCACACATAAAAAATACATGCGCGCAAACATGCGTCGGGTGAGCCTATGTGTGAAAACGAAAATCGCGCCCATTACGCCGCACATGTTGCATATCACTGCAAACGTCAGAGTGAGGGTAATAATATTAGGGCCATTATTCACTGATCACACTAAATTGATGAGCGGTAAAAGCTTTTAAAGCGTCGCCTATGGCCAATTTTGGGTATAGTATTTTATTGCGATTTCGCAGCCGCACGCAATTTTAAAGCTTGACATGTTTGGTGTCTATTTACCCAACCTGACCCCCGTCTTTTATGTTTTACCAAAAAATATGGGTCACAAATGTTTTTAACATTTTTTTTTTTCATTACATTGTAAAAAATAAAAACCCCAGTGGTGATTAAATACCACCAAAAGAAAGCTCTATGTGTCCTCAAAAATGGTATAAAATTTCAGTACAGCATTGCATGATGGAATAAACGTCAGTCAAAGTACCACAGCGCTGAATACTGAAAAATGGCCTGACCAGGAAGGGGGGTGTAAACACCTGGTCAGCAAGTGGATAATCTAATGTTCAAGTTTTAGTCCTAATGTGCTGCTTTGTCTGTTTACAGGTTGACACATTTCCTTTTCTAGGAAGAATCAGAAACATGAAGTCTGTTATACGGGACTCTTCCTTCCAATCCAAACAGATGGGTAGACGAGAAAACAAAGTCATTAACACAGAGGGTCGTATTCAATTCGATCTCTTTCAGGTAATATTAGATGGGTACTGTGCTGTGGTTAATCACTGTTGTGTTATTATCTAAATCATTAGTTCCAAAATGAGTGGTTGGAAGCCTTGCTGTCTGTGGCCCTTTCACAGCTAACGCCCAGTACTATAGTGAATCCCATGCTTCTACAAAAAAGTAGCAGCAATTCTATATGCCTGCTTAACAGTGCTTTCTTCCACAAATTAATAAAAGGAGGTGCATGCCAATTCATAAATTTCTCGCATGATGGTGGTGATCCGCCAGATTCTACTGCACTTACTCTGGCATGCGCCAACATTTTGGCACAAATATTACTATACAAGATTTAAATAGCGCCAACAGTTTGCGCAATGAAATATTTACAATATAAGGAGGACATTACAGTTACAATGCAAATCAAGACAAGATTGTAAGAAGGGCCTGTCCATGAGAGCTTACAATCTAAAAGGAAGAGGCAAGTGGTATAAGAGGTGGTGGCTGTGTGGGGATAAATTGTGATTGTTCATTAGTTAGGTTGAGGCGGGATAGGCTTCCCTGAAGAGATGAGTCTTTAGGGAACGCCTGAAGGCAGACAGAGTAGGGGATAGACGGACAGGTTGGGGTAAGAAGTTCCAAAGGATGGGAGAGACTATAGAGAAGTCCTGGCGGCAAGCATGGGAGGAGTTGACTAGAGAGCAGGAGGTCTTGGAAGGAGCGGAGAGGTTGGTTAGGGTGATACTTTGAGACAAGGTTGGAGATGGAGCCGGGTTATGTGGATAGCTTGGTAAGTGGTTGTTAATATTTTGAATTTTATCCTTTGGGTTATTGGAAGCCAGTGCAGGGATTGACAGAGGGGGGGTTGCAGACACTGAGCGATTGGTTAGGTGGATAAGTCTAGCAGCAGCATTCATGATAGACTGAAGGGGGGATAGCCTGTCTAGAGGTAGGCCAATATGGACAATCTTCCACAGGAATCATCCTAAATTTTCTTCTTCCTATGTTGCTGCACCTCACTGGCTGTCCATACACATCTCCCCCGCCCCCTTGCGGCAGTGCTGAGTCTCCCATCCTCACTATAGTAGTTACATCACTCTGGTAATTATGCATATTTTACAACTGGCTTTAAAACCGGACATTGGCGCAAGTGCTTCATTTAGTTTGGCGCATGCGATCAGACATTTCCAATAACTGTGGCATAGTGCTTTTAACATGATTTGGCAACACCTCATAAAACTGTTACCACATTGTTAATTTGGCACACATAAAATGTGCCCAGATTTACACCACAAAACTGACGTAGTTCCCTTTGTTTATTCCCCTGCCTGAATTTGCAGAGTTTTTCCCAAGAAAGGCTATGAAATGCAAGGGCACAGTGTCTAATTAGAAGACTCTCGGGAGATGGCTGCTGGAGTTTATGGCTGTGGGGTTTTTTCTTTATGCGGTTCATGTAGTGTGTATTGCCATGGCTACACTTCTGTTGAAGATTCCCAAGGTAGAAGCTAAATAGTCAATGATGCATGCTGGGGAGGACACTGTTGCTGTTCTGTAATACTTTTGTTACCATGTGTAGGTGACAGACCAAAAGGTTCCACCGGATAACACTAATAATGACTTACAAGCATTACCGAAAGTATCTCAACACCTTTACTTTTAAAGGATAGTTCCAGGCCACATACACTTTTCAAATATAAATATGCAAAACAGTTTACCAGTGTTTACTTTGTTAGTGTAGCAGGGTTTGTTTCAGTGGTTTCTGGACCATAACATACATTAGTTTGGTCCAACAATGTCTTCTTTGCTCCTCCGCAAAATTCCTGCATTAGAAACTTGGGATCAGCAATCTAGGATGCTGAATTTTAACCGTAAATTGTGTGTAAACCGTATAAATTAACATCTTTTATGTGCCCCCTGTTATTTACAACAGTGTTAAAAAACCTGTTGGTCTTGCCAGATAACTTTTGTGTAATCTGCCTCTGCTGCACTGAAATCTCAAGCAGCATTGCCTTGTTGTTCGCCGACCTCTGTATGATTTTCCTGTACTTCCTTTCCCTGTGACACCTTTACACAAAATTGGGGGTTCAGTTGTCATTGGGACAGGAAAGTAAAAAAAAAAGCAACAAAAACATTCTCAGTTCTGACCCTTACCCACTTAGCTAATATTTTTTGTCTGTTTGTGTTTGTCCCTGTTAGCGTGATTTGTTGTAACCTTCTGCCTGGACAGAAACTTTAAAGAAAACTTTCCAATAGGCACACAGAGGCTGTAATCCCTTACTGCTCTATCCAAATCAAAATAAAATGTTTTTGCTTGGAGTTGGGCTCTAAGTTGTGCTACTTCAGCATGCAAAAATTACAAGCACACACTTCCTGATTTGTCAGTCTCTATCCAAATATGATTTCTTTAATACCTGTCCATGTCTTCTGTGCAATGCGCAGTCCCTACTGTTTTCTCCTTGATCACCTACAACAATATGGAGATCTATATATTTTTGTTGTATTTAGTGGATATATGTAGAAGAGCAGCTGGGGAACATGAGATCTAAATAAGAACTTCAGGGATGTGTGAATTGTGTTTTTTAATAGGATAATGACTGACAAGTGCTCCTTGCTCTCTCCAGCTCTGAGGTGAGATGCCTTGCAGGGGGACATGTCCTAGTTTAAAGGTCGCCACACACCTTACGATGATCGTACGATAATCGCGGGAAATCCCGCGCTCGTACGATTATCTTAAGGTGTGTGGAAGCCGTGCGACCTCTACTACTGTAAGGTCGCACGACTTTAAACTTACGAACATGTTTCAAAACCCGCCGAGCATCGTACGATGTTCGGCGGGTGTGTAGCATGTTCGTGAGATAAAAGCTGGGCGGGCCGGTGTGCACAAGCGCACACTGCCCGTTCGGCATTGCGGTCATCGAAAGCCCGCCCCTCAAGGGCGTGGCTTGCGATCATCGCAAGTACGATCTGCCTATGCAAGATAGGCAGATCGTACGTTTTTTTTTAAGTACCTTACAACCATCGCAAGACAAAAGTCTTGCGATGGTTGTACGGTGTGTGCCCAGCCTTACACCCAATTTTTAGTGATTTTAATTATTGTCCACAGGGGAGCACTGGGACATGGCTAGTGTTTTTTAAATTTTTTATTAATCATTATGTGTCATATTTTTTTTCTTTTTGCATTTTTTACAGGTACTCCTTAGAGACTACAAGCTGCGTTCATACACTCTGAATGCTGTCAGTTTCCACTTTCTGCAAGAACAGAAGGAAGATGTACAGCACTCTATCATTACGGATCTACAGGTATGGCAAAGTCTTTTGTCACTCTTAATTTGGTTTACCCAGAAATCCTTTGATTAACAACTGTATATGCTCATCCTTCGGAACTTAATAGTACAAGCTAACATGGGCACACTAATATAATTAAGGGAAAACCACAATGTTTTATCAGCGAGGATTCTTTGTGTTTTATTAACATAATTTTTCACATAATTATGCCTTTCAGAGTGTCTGCTGCTAAAAAGTTACCTAAATACATTTCAATGATTTTTTTAAAGAAAGTATGTTAAACTCAATTTATGAAATGTGTGTAAAATTAACAGAAAATCTAATTGGGCAGAATTACAGGGATTCTCATGTGCTGTTTTAAGTGCCTTGGTCTCGTATTAGGAAATGTTTCCTAACCTTGTGGGTTTTTTGTGCACATTAATAGTTTCCCCATGATTTAGAGGTATTTGTTCCTTTAAATCAAAACTTTAATCTTTACAGTTTTTTGTTAACGTACCTTCTCTGTAACCATATTTAGTGTTATATCTATCTATCTATCTATCTATCTATCTATCGATTAGATATATATATATATATATATATACACATACAAACACATACTGTGTTTTTTTTTTTTTTTTAACTTGTTAGTGCTTTGCTTGATATTTTTGCAGAACGGAAATGAGCAAACACGGAGAAGGCTGGCTGTCTACTGCCTGAAGGATGCCTACTTACCTCTTCGTCTTATGGAGAAGCTCATGTGTGTTATAAATTACATGGAAATGGCACGTGTGACAGGTGTGCCTCTCAATTACCTGTTATCTCGTGGGCAGCAAATAAAGGTGGTCTCGCAGCTCCTCAGACAGGTATGTGACAATGGATATGCATTCCTTGGAAGCAAGTGATTGTCACTTGATGATGTCAGGATTATTCAATAAGGCAATGCCAATAGCAGTAATAAGGCAGTGGATTATTAATTTATTTTACTAAATAAGACCTGTTAAGTGATTTAAAAGTAAATTTTTGAGTAAAAACTCACATGCAGTTGAACTGCAAATCATGAGTTATAATGCAGTTTTCTTTAATAAATATCTGTTTCAACTTTTTCTGGACCAGAGCCTTTTCCAGCTGTTAAAGCAGAACGCTTATAATATGTCCAAATATACAATGTTTCCGTTTTTTAGAGCAGGTAGGATTTTCGTTTAATTTCAGGTTTGGAAATGTCTTTTTTTTTAAATACTGCAACACCAGATAATCACTCTAAAATACAATGATCAAAGTTTCCTACAGGAATACCATGTAAGTTCAATGATAATGGTATCCCAATGGAATGGTAATGCCCAAGTTCATCTTTCAGATTAGGAGAGCTTTTTTTCCTTTTGAATGTTGCATCACGGCACATGGATACAAAATAATCTGTTGGGGATTATTATAATTAAAATATGCTTGTGCTGGCAGAGATAGGTGTAATTTCATATTTTTGTAGTGTATTGTCTGTTATGCTTATGCAGTAAGTAAACATGTCATCCAAAGCATCTTAATTTGTTGAAATCTCAAGTTAGTGGGGAGAGTGGAGCATTACTATATAATGCTGTGTTACAGCATTCAAAACCCTGTTCCTGGACTTGTGTCCTGGACCCTTGCTTTCACTTGTAACCTGCAGATCCTACTCGCACATTAACTGGACACACCCGCAGCAAGTGCCATTTGTTTCCTCCTGCCTTTTGGTTCCTCCTTCTCTTGACCACATAACCTTAAGTCTCAGGGGCCCATTCATAACCGAGAACTGAACAGTTCGCTGGACACCACAGTGTTTACTCCATGCTATGCCTGCATGTAATTATTCAGTTATAAATTGCAGGCCCCAGTTCTAAGCCTGCACTGGCTGGTCACATGGCTTTGCGCTCACGTTCCAGTGTGCTGTGCTGCATTTAAATATCACTTAACATATTCAGGATGTGTTTTTAATCCAGTTGGTCATGTATGCCTCAGAACTGATGAACTCGTATGCAGTATATAGTTCTTGTCCATTGAGGACAAGAAAGAACTATATACTGTTGAGTGCTTTCCAGACTCTGTTCTGGTAACAAGTAAGCGCTGGAAAAAACCTTCCAGGTCCAGAGCAGCTGACATTGCCTCAGCGCTTGCCCTGTTTCTTCAAGCACATGGATTGCTATTAAAATTGACACGGCGCTTTTAAAATTCTCCGTTTCCTACTATTTTTTACTGCGAAAGGGGTTAACGCTGTGTCTGAGCACTGACATATTTAGCTAGGTGCAGTGTTATCCGTGCTTTCTCTGCACTTTCTTTCCTGCCATACAGCATCAGAAGCATCTGCCTGCTGCTTCTGCTTTGCAAGGAGCCACAAAAAATTTGGATGTTCCATCCAATTCCGGCTTATATACTGCGTGGAACCTTTTCTGGGTTTGGATAGGGACAAGGTGGTGTTGAGGCCCAGGACTTCCTTCCTACTTAAGGTATGTTCTGTCGTTCATTTCAGCCAGCACATAGTTCTTCCGTTCCTCTGTCTGGCTCCAGTTCACAAAAAGGCAATTTTCCTCCATTGCCTGGATGTGGTTTGGGCTGAGAGAGTCTCTCTCAGCTGCTGCTTCTTTTAGAAAGACTGATTCCCTTTTTGTCATCCCAGATGGTGCCTCATCTGATGCTATCCTTAGGCATTAGGTCCTTCAGGCAGTTTCTTGAGCTGCAGGCAGTTCCATGTTTTCATTGAACTGCCTGCAGTGTTGCCCAACTCTCAAGTAGATTGCTTTTTGTAAGTCCCAAAGGGGAAAGACTTATATTGTCCCTCAATGGACAAGAAAGAAAATAGGATTTTTGTAAAAACCTTTTCTTGGAGTCCTTTGAGGGACCCAGGCCCCCACCTCTTTGAAGAATTTAATTAGGGTATGTGAAGAATTTAACAAGATGATTAAGACTCTACATGCAACATATTTACACCTAAATTGTAACATTTTTCAGGAGAGTCTTTTAGAAACTGTAAGAAGATGGGTGACCAAACCTGAATGTTATTTTTAGCCATACTTGCTGTTGTGAAATACTAGGTCTAGGACCATGAAGTGGAACATTAAGAATGTGACATTTGCAAGTGATAAATGAGGATATAAATAAGGTTCAGGGTCCTGGCCTATTGTTCTTATCCTGGCTTTACTACCTAGTGAGTCACTAACCTTAAAGAGGAACTGCAATCAGCTAGCAACTGTACACAAAACACATTTTGTTACTAAAGGAAAGTGAATAAATGTTATGACATCTGATGTTCTCCTCGGGGGGCACTCCTTTTGATGCATATTTCTCCCCTGCATCCACTGCTTACTGGAGCCTGAACCATATTGAAAGCCATACGGGCCCTTTCACACCTGTTCTTTGCAGTGTGCTTCAGTAATGCACACGTTATATTAACATGCGTTGCATGCTTTCACATGTTACAGTGCTATTCATTTTCAGTAATACCCCAATGCACTAAGTCACTCTGACATAAATGCAATGCAGTGCTATACAATGCCTAACACTGCATCATGATGCATTTGCAGCCCATTTAAATTACTGTGCTGCATTATTGCAATGTGTGTGCAACATAAGGCACATTACATAATGCACCAGGATGAAAAGTTGTGAATGGACATTTAGAGGCACATCTTCCTGGTCAGCAGCCCCTGCCCATTTCACAAATCTTCTCCATTCACAGTTGAAAGCTGCATTTTGAAGAATATGGAAGAGTTGATATTGTGTTAGCTGGCTTTGCTATCAGGGGAGGTATCATGTTATTCTAGCACAGTTCCCTGCTAAATTAGAAGACTACACAGAACCTCACCAGCTGCTTTTCTGTTAGAATAAATTGGAGGATTGTAAGTAACAGCAACAGAGCTTTTTTTAAAATTAAATTGGTTTATAAAGTTTCCCTTTTAGGCAAGCATGCAGCCAGTGAAGTTTAAATTCTAGTCTTAATCCTGGTCAGTGAGTTCCAGGTAACCCTTGTGACATCCTTATGTACGAGGTTTGTATTCCTAACCTCACAGATCAACTTTCAATGTGTTAAAGACTGACATTTTGAAAACTTGAGCAAATGTTCAGGCCACTAATAGAAAATGATGCTAATTTGTGTAATTGTCCTATTGAGTTTAAAGCATCTTTTCTCTTAATGTTTTAGGCCATGAAGCAAGATCTGGTGATGCCGGTGGTAAAATCTGAAGGCGGAGAAGATTACACTGGGGCTACTGTCATTGAACCAGTTAAAGGGTGAGCACAGTGTGTGTATGACTGAAAAACTAAAAAATTTAACTGGTTTCCTCTGTTAAGTAGATGTCAAAGAAGTGCATTTTTTTATGTGCCATACCTTTTTTATAATTACCAAACTTTCAAGCATCATCTTTCAGATTTTCTTAAAGTGTATCTAAACTCACCAAAACCAAATACTGTATGTTGTTGGACATGCTCTTATAATGTCAAAAAGGTTCATCCTTTTTTATATATGTCCTGTTTTCAGCTAAAACATACCAACAGGTTGTATCCACGCTTCCTTTCCTATGCCAAGAGTGCTTACCCTATTCAGCTGCAGTGTTCTCCCCTTTACTGTGCACTCCTGAGTTGGACTGTGAACAGCCTTGCCAAAGCATAATGTGCTGGCACATTCTTCTGTTGTTACCATAGCAAACTGTATTTCTCTATCATCCATTGAGGGACACAGGAATTCTTTGAGTTATACTGTTGCCTACAAGATGATTGGACATTGGCTGGCCAAAACTTTCCCCACCTTCTTTGCAGCTGTTCTGAACATTTGTTCTCAGCCTTGGCTTCTGGCCCTTGCAACCTGACTCTGCTGGACCTTGAGGGGTTAGCCTGGAAGTGGCCCTCTGGCACTAGGCTTCACGAGCACTTTACAGGCTAGTTTTAAATGTTGGCTGCGGAACGCTTTTCAGGTCCAGAGCCACTGACATTGCTATGTGCTTGTTCTGTCCCTGAAGACATTCTCATGTCTTGAGGTCCCTCATTTTTATCAATTGGCGGGGTTCAAAACGTATTTACTCTTTCCTGCCAGCCTGCCGCAGAAGCAGTTAACTCTGTGTTTGAGGGCTAATTTTATTCCACTGGGTGGAGTGTCGCATGCGCACACCCCTGCTTTCTTTCCCACCAGAGAGCGTTGAGGAAGCATCTCCTAGCTTCTGCTTCTACTGCAAGAGCCACATGAAGCTTCATTCCGTGATCTTTTCTTACTGCCTGCTTTCAGTGTTGCCACAAGCTGCTCGACCCTCTGGTCTTGAACACTTTTACCAGCAGTCCAGGATCTGTGAATTCTCAAGGCCCTACCTCCTACATTTAGTCTGTACTTTGCTTACCGCAGCTGCAATGTGTCTGATTTTAGACACAGGGGGCAGTCCTACTCTAACGGGCACCCCAGCATACTGTTCACTAACGCGTCAAGTTCTGCTTGCAGCTTTTCACCTTATAGTGGTGACAGTCATAGTCTGCAATCCTTTTGTCCTCTGGTTGTAAAGTCTATCCCCTCACGGATGTCCTCCTTGGCTCCATTGGGTGTTGCTGGACCTGCTGCCCTCTCGGAAGAGGTGTTTACTACGGCCATGCAGGCCTTTATGACTCGCATTACCTAGATGATTTTTGACTCTGATTGCAATGGCCACAAACACACTATCACGCCCTCCACAGTTGACTCGGTGTCTGATCAGCCTGCAGCCTTAGTCTTGTCTGCACCATCTGCCACAGAGTCTCTAATACTGAGTCAATCAAGACTCGGACTGCTGAGCTTTCCCTAAGGAGTTGCAACTGCTCCTAATTTAAAGGAGACAGTTTCAACCCCTATTGTAGCACGCAACACTCTGAATCTGGAAAATCAGCCTGTGGCATCTAATAGTGCCGTGACAGACCCTTGAACATACAGAGCCCCTAAGGCCTTAAAAACCTTCCATATGCACCCACTTATTCACTTGTTTTATATGAAGTTTGAAAGAAACCTTGATTAGGTATTTGTCACGAAGTGATCCGGCTCTACTATGGATTTGGCTATTTCTTGCCTTAATGTGGCAACTACTATACTGATAAAGGATGCCCCATCCCTTAAGGACCCCTCCAATATGAGGCTGATATTTCATTCTAGGGCCATGTTCTCTTTAACAGGCTTTGCCTTATACCTGGTTTTGGCTCTAGTTCTCCTCTGACTGGTGCTGACATTGACCCGCAGATCATTGTTCACACATACCAGATATCTCTGAAGTTGTTATGGGTTGTTTGGAAACCTCCTGTCTCTTAGTATTTTCTTGTCAGTACATATACACAGGGCTTTGTAGTGCAGCAGCCGCGTTCTTGTTTTAACCACTTTAACGGGCCACCGTCTATAGACGTATTGCGGCCCGGAAGTGGTTAAGGCTGCCACCTGGTCTTCTGTTCTCACTTTGTTTAAATTTTTTCAGGTGGGCATTTTCTGCCTCATCTGATAACCAGCTTTGAGCATAAGGTCGTTCACATGGCTCTTTGAGCTGCAGACTGTCCTTGTTGGGCCAGATAGCTGTTTTGTTTTTAAGCTGTGTTGCTCACACCTCAGTTGGACTGCTTTTGAATGTCCAGCGGGTTTCTGAGTTGCTGTGTCCCTTAATGAATAAAATAGAACATCTGATTTTTGTACTCAACATAAAATCCTTTTCTTGAAATACATTGAGGGATATGGGTCCCACCACTCTGGGTTTATAATGATGCTCTTGCTACTGGTTTGTTACTAAACTGAGGCATCCTGGTGGTAGGGGGGATTACACCCTGGACTGGCCTGCTGTATTTTTCTTGCGCTTGCAAACAATGTCCAATCCTCCTGTAGGCGGCAGTATAACCCAAATGGTTTTGGAATTACTGTTTCCCTCAATGGATTCCAAAAATCAGATTTCACATGGTGTACAAAAAAACCGAAAAAGTCATCACACAGTTACTTTTGAGGTTTCTTTAACTGATGTTAAGGACAAATGTACTATAAATATGTTCCTGCTGTAATCCTTTTACAACATATTTTTCGATTAAACAGGCAAATTTACACAGGAGCCATTGTCTGTGCTACCACTGCAGACTGGTACCCAGCTGTAAAACTGACAGCTAGTGCCAGTCATTTTGCTGGTTTAGTGTGTTCCTCATGCCCAAGGTCTGCAAGTATTTAATTAAATGTCTAAATATAACATAACTGCACATAGGCACTTTGCATTCTTCCACAGAAATTACTAGCATAACAGTTCTTGTATCCAAACCTATCTGCTGCAATGCATACCGCTACAGGTTTCTCAATAATAATGTATTGCTAATGGATAACTGATAGAAATAGATTCCCAATATGCCGGAAGAACTTGATCAGCTCTGTCCTACATGTTCCTGAGACCCATCAATATTACAGACATTACTAATGATGTCTTCACGATCTGTTTACCATTTCTTTTCTTTTTTTTACTTTTACATTTTTTATTAAAATTTATAAAAGAAATATAACATAGGTTACATAAGTAAGCAAATTATAGGAATTGCATACAAAAAGATTATACAGTTGTGTGAAAAAGTGTTGGCCCCCTTCCTGATTTTTCATTGTTTTGCACGTTTTTCACACTTTAATGTTTCAGATCATCAAACAAATTTAAATATTAGCCAAAGATAACACAAGTAAACACAACAAAGGAAGGTTTTTAATATTAAGGGAAAACAAAATCCAAACCCACATGGCCCTGTGTGAAAAAGTGTTTGCCCCCTAAACCTAATAACTGGTTGGGCCACCCTTAGCAGCAAGAACTTCAATCAAGCGTTTGCGATAACTTGCAATGAGTCTGTTACAGCGCTGTGCTTGAATTTTGGTCCACTCATCTTTGCAGAATTGTTGTTATTCAGTCACATTGGAAGGTTTTTGAGCATGAACCGCCTTTTTTAAGGTCATGTCACAGCATCTCAATAGGATTCAGATCAGGACTTTGACTAGGCCACTCCAAAGTCTTCATTTTGTTTTTCTTCAGCCATTCAGAGGTGGACTTGCTGGTGTGTTTTGGATCATTGTCCTGCTGCAGAACCCAAGTTCGCTTCAGCTTGAGGTCACGAACAGATGGTCTTCCAGGTCCTGAAGCAGCAAAACAGCCTTAGACCATCACACTACCACCACCATATTTTACTGTTGGTATGATGTTCTTTTTCTGAAATGCGGTGTTACTCTTACGCCAGATGTAATGGGACACACACCTTCCAAAAAGTTCAACTTTTGTCTCGTCAGTCCACAGAGTATTTTCCCAAAAGTCTTTTTTTGCTCAGGAGCGGTTTTCGTCTTGGAACTCTGCCATGCAGGCCATTTTTGCCCAGTCGCTTTATTATGGTGGAGTCATGAACACTGACCTGAGGCAAGTAAGGGCTGCAGTTCTTTGGATGTTGTTGTGTGGGGTCTTTTGTGACCTCTTGGATGAGTCATCGCTGCGCTCTTGTGGTAATTTTGGTTGGCTGCCCACTCCTGGGAAGGTTCACCACTGTTCCATGTTTTCGCCATTTGTGGATAATGGCTCTCACTGTGGTTCGCTGGAGTCCCAAAGCTTTAGAAATGGCTTTATAACCTTTTCCAGACTGATAGATCTCAATTACTCCATTTGTTCCTCGATTTCTTTGGATCTCGGCATGGTGTGTAGCTTTTGAGGATCTTTTGGTCTACTTCACTTTGTCAGTCAAGTCTTATTTAAGTGATTTCTTGATTGCCAACAGGTGTGGGTGTGGTTAGAGAAATTGAACTCAGGTGTGATAAACCAGAGTTAAGTTATGTTTTAACAGGGGTGGGGGCAGGTAAGCACTTTTTCACACAGGGCCATGTACGTTTTGAATTTTGTTTTCCCTTAATAATAAAATTTAAATTTGTTTGATGATCTGAAACATTAAAGTGTGACAAATGTGCAAAACAATGAAAAATCAGGAAGGGGGCCAACACTTTTTCACACAACTGTACATACTCTGCATACTTATAAGAGGTAGAATCTGGTGTACAGATAGAGCGTATAGTAAAGGACATGGAGGGTTTAAGGGGAGGTATCCAATTTAAAAGGGTGGTCGTTAGGGATATAAAATTAGGTGAAAGGAAAAGGATACAAAATCCCATAAAGGGGTCATGCCAGTAAAGGGCAAATGGAGCCCAATGTGTGGTTCTTGCTCATACTTGGTAGGCAGTAAATGTGGCCAGTATAGACCGTAATATGTTTATAACATATACCTTAAGTAAGTACACTAGATTGTATAAAGGGAGCATGAAAAGGGTTATAATGAATGGAAATCGGAAAAGAGAAGCAAAGAAAATAGATATAGAGTAAAGATAACCTCAGGTGGAGGATGAAAGCCAGTGGATATGGTATAGTATTATCTTAAATGGTAAGTAATCTGTAATTAGAATATAATATAATAGTAATTGGAATATAAGTAATGTTGGATCCAAGGGGACCATGTTTTATCAAATTTTGCCATAGTGTTATTACGTTTTGCCGATCTTTTTTCAAGGGTCATGATCCATGTTACGTATCATTTAACTCTGGATACATTGAGATTAGGTGATTTCCAGTATTTGGCTATTTCACGTTTGGCTGCGGAGAGCACAAATAAAAACAATTTGCACATGGGCTTAGGGATTATATCAGCAACCCTGTTGAGAAGGGGAAGCGCCGGATAGTACTATTTGACAGGTTGTTGAGGATTCGGAATATCTTGTCCCAGAATTTAGATACTACAGAGCACACCCACCAGGTGTGAAAATAAGTGCCATGAGCTGTGCATCCTCTGAAACACAAGGCAGAGCAATCAGTTGCCTCTGTTTACCATTTCTATGCTAATTAATTCCTGTTAAGGGACTTTTGACTCCCTGTTTGTGGGTATTGGATGACTCTTGTTAGAAGGATGTGCAAATGGTTAACATATTTTGATGTGTGTTCTCTATTGGCTGTTGCTATGTTAATTGTATTACCTTTGTTTGAGGGAAAATGTGTTGGGCAATACAGCCTTACTGAGCTACTTTGTAAAAAAAAAAATGTACCCTGGGTACACTAGCTACAAGGTAAGTTAAATGTGGATTGATGGTCATTTTTTATATACTAGTATCAGAATAATATGTGTTATTTTCTTTAGGTATTATGATGTCCCAATTGTCACCCTTGATTTTTCATCACTATACCCATCTATCATGATGGCTCATAATCTCTGTTACACTACTCTGCTGCAGGCTGGATCCATTGAAAAATATGGGTTTGTACATCCTCTGTTTCTTACGCTTTATTATATTCACACTGCTATTTTAGACTTGTAATTTTCTTCTACTTTAAGAGAATGTTGTGTTTGCGTATTTATTTTATCTAGCGGTTAAAAAAAGTTTTTGTGTTTTAAAAAAAATAGACAAATATTCAATTTTGCAGATTAATATTTCATATTAACTATTTCCAGCCAGCAAGTGACACTCTAGGCTTCTTTCACATTTACCATTTAAAACACTCTGTTAAATAAAAAGCCATTTTTTAGAGCTGGATAGCTGAAGCTCAGGACACACACACACACACACACACACACACACACCTAAAATGTAATGGATTTTGTGGGAGACCCCACGCATAAAACACAAAAAGTGAGTTCCCCCTTCATATCAGCAGCCCTCCTACACCTTGACTCCCCTATATTACATTAAAAGCCCTCTTTACATGAGGACCCCCCTCCTTTTACAACCCAAGCCTCCCTTTACACCAGAATCCCCCACCTTTCGCATCAGCGCTTTTCTGAATAGATCCAACACTCCCTGGATTAGTAATTCTAATGGCTGCCCTGCCTGCACCTTGAAAAGGCATGATGCTATGCAAATATTACAAGGCACCCAGGAGGAAGCCAGAATGCTCGGTTAATGTAAGCATACTATAAGTGCCCAATGGGTCAATTTCTTTCTCATCCAGTGAGAGACACAGACATTTTGATAGGATAAGACTACTGCCTACACTGCTCCCACTCTTTGACCAGAAGGCACAGGATATTCTGGTAGATTCATGAGCATTGACCACATAACGCTTGGTAATTTTGTAATCAGATGTGTCAGGCCTCAGTGTCCTCTTTTTTTCTGATTCACAGAAACAAATCAGAAAACTAAAACATGCAGTCAGCCCTGTGGCGTGAGTAAAGGATAGTGTCGTAGGGGCAGAGCTTAGATGCTGTTTAACCAGTGGTTGTTGGGCACTCCCTCCTGCTTTGCTATCTTGCTTGGTTAATCCAATCAAGTCACAAAATAAGCACCCACTTTTTTTTAATCCTGTTTGCAAAATTAACCATTATGGATGTACATTGTATATATAAAAGCACCGCTCCAAGAAAGACATTCTTAAAACATAGATTTCATTTCCATATAAAAATAGCCATTAAGTAAAAGACAAACCCTGATCATTCCATGATAATGCACTTCATCAGAGGATTACCAACACATATATATTTATTAACTATAAACATTTGATACAACTGGTAAGCAGAGTCAGGTCACTGTAGACAACTTGATCAGGAAATAGCACAAAGTTTTAACTGCCAGGACACTGATGACCCAAGTACAGGTCTCGAAGGGCATCGGAGAAAGTGAAAATGAAAAGGTGACACATGCATAACTTGCATGCCAGGATTAAAATAGCGAAGGTGTATTGAAGATCAGTTTTGCTTGAGCAGTTACTTTAAGATTACAGTAAGTACTTTTGCAGCTTGTTGATTAAGGCTTTAACTCTTGTAATCTGTAATTGCTGAACCTGCTTGTGAAAATTTTATTTTCCTGAATCTAGATTCTATTATTTTTGAGTTAACCTGGATTAAAAACACACTAAATTAAATCCAAGTGAAGTCAGAACTTTTGGTTAGTTGTTACTTGTCAGCAGCTATGAAAAGATTGAAGCAATTGTATCAGCAATAAAGCTAGGCAGAAAGCATTTTCAGGAGGAGAGGTGAGAAATGGTATTCTCTATATTTTTCATTATGGTATTACTTTAATCAAAATATGATAAAAGATAGCAATTAGGGTTTCTTCCTGAAAACACACCTATCTCTGATCTGGTCTTTAAAGTGACATTAAACCCTCAGATTTTTTAACATAAACCAATACTGTAATGTGTGCCTTACTGTAATCCATGGTTGTTTCCCTTCTCTTTGCTGCTCTTCCTTTTTAAATCCTCATGTCTTCTCATGCTTGGGGAGAACTTCCCTTTTCAGCTCAGGGCCTCTTCCTGTAATGCTGGCTCAGGTTACAAGCCTATAGAAACGTATACACAGACACCGTGTATCCATTCCTGAGACAAGGCAGTCTGCTGCAAAACAGAAGTTCTGCCCAGCATGAGAAGAGATACAGATTTAAAACGAAGAGCAGCAAAGAGAAGGGAAACAACCATGGATTATAGTAAGGCACTTTTACTGCTCATCAGTTTAGTGTTACCAGTGACTGATGGCCCTAGAATTATCGCACTCACTCCGACGTTCGCAGCGATATGTGACGTGTGGTGCATTTTTAGTTTTTGCACGTAGGCACATCCAGCGCGCGTTTGCGTTGTATGTACGTGCACATGGGGGGCAGGGGACTTTAAGAAATGTTTGCATAATTTTTTTTTTCAAGTGTCTTTCATTTATTGTGTTTTGTTTTTTTTTTCAATTTTTTTTTGTTGCTTTCACATAGTAGGCTAACGGCAGCGATGGGGCCAGGGCCACACAGCGCCGCTTGGTACAAACGATTCGGCACCTATACAGCTGCTGTATCACTTGCACATAAACAGCAATCGTCGGCTGTTTAAAACGATACCAAGAACACGTCTGCATCAGCAGCCATGTCTTTGGTAAACCACTTCAAGCGGATGACGTATACACTATTGTTGTATGTTAAAAAAATCTGAGGGTTTAATGTCACTTTAACAAGCTTTAATCAGAATAAATACATTTGGGCATGTTAATACATTATGGAGCTGTGAATCCCAGGTGCTGCACCTTCATTTGTATGTAACTTGCAAGTTTGTTCTAACTAACACTTTCTCTTAAGTCTTGCGTTATTGTTTCTAAAAGATATATTTTTTTCCTACTTACTCAATATGTATATATCCTTAAATATCTAGATTCAGTCCTGAAGATTTTATCAAGACTCCAACAGGTGATCAATTTGTAAAGACAAGCGTACGGAAGGGGCTTCTGCCCGAGATCTTGGAAAATCTTTTGTCTGCTCGAAAACGGTAAGTAGTCCCTAGAAAGAATAAAGCTTCCTTGTTTTTTTCTTTTTGCAGTATATAACACCAAAGCTGGCCATACACCTTACAATTATCTGCAGATTTTCTGTGGTCAGATGGAAAAGGTGCAGCAGATTCCTCCATCTACACTTAACCGTGTGGATGGAGTAATCTCCACCTGGGCCAATCTGTTGCACTTTTTCCATCTGACCAAAAATTGCGTGCACCCGTGAAACCGCAAAAGACTACAATACCCAATATTTCCCAACGGCATAACCTTAAAAGCTTTTACTGCTCATCAGTTTAGTGTTACCAGTGACTGATGGCCCTAGAATTATCGCACTCACTCCGACGTTCGCAGCGATATGTGACGTGTGGTGCATTTTTAGTTTTTGCACGTAGGCACATCCAGCGCGCGTTTGCGTTGTATGTACGTGCACATGGGGGGCAGGGGACTTTAAGAAATGTTTGCATAATTTTTTTTTTCAAGTGTCTTTCATTTATTGTGTTTTGTTTTTTTTTTCAATTTTTTTTTGTTGCTTTCACATAGTAGGCTAACGGCAGCGATGGGGCCAGGGCCACACAGCGCCGCTTGGTACAAACGATTCGGCACCTATACAGCTGCTGTATCACTTGCACATAAACAGCAATCGTCGGCTGTTTAAAACGATACCAAGAACACGTCTGCATCAGCAGCCATGTCTTTGGTAAACCACTTCAAGCGGATGACGTATATTTACGTGAACCTGCATGAAGTGGTTAAAGGAGAACTCCAGGAGAAAACATTTTTACATTTACAGTGGGGCTACCCCCGCACTGCAAGGGTTACCTGCTCATTTGTTTCTAAGTGCTAAAGAAAAAAAAAAAAAAGTTATACTCTCCCAATCATTCCAGCCGGCTTGTTCTTAGACCTGGTCCCTCGAGCCTCTCTCTCCCTCCTCTGCAATTCTTTAAGAATCAGTGTCTCATCACGGTGTATGCAAGTAAATAGACGTGAGGCTGCTGAGGAAAATTCAATCTGTGCAGAAGAGGAGGAGACGCGCTTCAGTGACCAGAGAAGCAGGGAGTCGGCTCGGCAGTTCAGAGTGAGTATAACTTTTTTTTTTTTAGCACCTAGACACAAACGAGCAGTTAACCCGGTTAATAAAACTTTTCCCTGGAGTTCCTCTTTAAAAAAAAAAAAAGAAAGCTTTCTCTTTACCACTGTTTCCATGGCGCAGTTGGCAAAAATATATTTTTTTTGCTTCGTCTCTGGCTGGCTGTCCACGATGATGGTCCTCTAAGACTGGCCAAATACTGTTAGAATTTTGTCCAATTACCAGGAATCTTATGGGCGCCAACTGTCCGCAAACAATAACCACCGCGTAGATTCATCCATCCACACTGTTTAGCCGTTCAGCACTTAGTCTCAGATTAAAACAAATCTAATAGTGTTTGGGCAGCTAACGCATCTGGCTACGAATCTCAGCACTGTAAACCTTTTGTGTGTGAGAATTGTACTTCTCTCATGTACATTTTAGAGTGGTGCATTTAAAAAATCTTGCATGCTGCATCTCTGTTGCCATTTATATGAAGCGTTCGTTACATTGGAATATAGGCAACCACGTGCAAAATGCACTATATATGCATTTACCTTGTGTATTGATACATGTAGTTGCACAAAAGCACACCAGGAAAACATGTTTTATTCACCCTTGCAGTGGGGCTACTCCCGCACTACAAGGGTTACCTGTTTATTTTGCTACAGAAATTAAAAGTTGCACTCATCCGAACTCCTGGGGCGACACCCTGCTCCTCCGATCACTGAAGCGTGTCTCTTCCTCCACTGCACAGATGGAATGCTTTTCACTGTCCTCACATCTATACACTTGTATAGAATGTGATGACAAGGATTCTTAGACCACTGCAGGAGGGGCAAAGCGGCTCTAGGCACTGGTCTAAGAACAAGCAGGCTCGGAGGATCAGGTGAGTGAGTATAACTTTTTTTTTTTTAGCACCTAGACACAAACGAGCAGTTAACCCGGTTAATAAAACTTTTCCCTGGAGTTCCTCTTTAAAAAAAAAAAAAGAAAGCTTTCTCTTTACCACTGTTTCCATGGCGCAGTTGGCAAAAATATATTTTTTTTGCTTCGTCTCTGGCTGGCTGTCCACGATGATGGTCCTCTAAGACTGGCCAAATACTGTTAGAATTTTGTCCAATTACCAGGAATCTTATGGGCGCCAACTGTCCGCAAACAATAACCACCGCGTAGATTCATCCATCCACACTGTTTAGCCGTTCAGCACTTAGTCTCAGATTAAAACAAATCTAATAGTGTTTGGGCAGCTAACGCATCTGGCTACGAATCTCAGCACTGTAAACCTTTTGTGTGTGAGAAGGAAGATCTTTTATTTGCATTCTGGAAACATTAGGGTTAGTTCACACCAGAAACTGCATCACAACTGCGTGCGTCTGCGCAGTTGTATTGCGATCCTTTTTGATGCGTTTTTTCCCCTGCATGTCCCTGGATGATGCCACAATTCTGTTTTTTTTTGTATGCAGTCTGTTGCGTTTAAGTGCGTTTTGATGCGTTTAGTGAAGTTAGATGCAGGTAAAATAGGACAAGCAGTACTTTTTCTGACTGCAGTTGAACGGACTGCAATGGTGTGAATTAGGCACAAGAAAGCATTGGGATGTATTTTAACTGCAGCAGTTGAAATAAACGGACTGCATCACAACTGCATATGGTGTGAACTGGCCCTTAACGTGCACTTGTTTAAAGAAAGATCCTGGCTGAAATGAAGGTGGAAAGGTTTTTTTTTTTTAATGAAACTCCGATGCATTCTGTAAAAAAAAAAAAAAAAAACCCCAACTATTTTAGGGACATAACTAAACTTGTTTAATCACAGCACAATGTGACGTTCAATCCCTGCAGAGCAAAGACTGAACTGAAGAAAGAGACTGATCCATTTAAGCAGAAGGTTTTGGATGGACGTCAACTGGCGCTAAAAGTGAGCGCTAACTCTGTATATGGGTTTACAGGAGCACAAGTCGGGAAATTGCCCTGTCTAGAGATTTCACAGGTGAGAGATTCTTGCCCAACTGTCTCCCGGCCAAAAAATATCTAGTATCACTATATTCTTATTAAGCTACCAATCAAGTACAATGGAATGTACGTTGAGAGAATTCTTGGATAAAATGTTATTGTATTAATGATTTCTGCACCTTCTAAAGAAAAGCATAGGTTTGCTTGTCAGCTAAAGGTTTTCGAAGTCAGTTGAAGAATTTTAATTTGTTAAATTAATTTTGTTGTTGCAAGTGTTGCTTTACTTCATTTGTTTAGTACAAAAAAAATAATCTCTAAAGAAAAAGGTATTTTCTCTATTACTTATTGAGGTATGCAGCACTGTAGAGAATCTGTACACTAGATGGCAGAGTAACCCATGATATAGACCAGGGGTGCCCACAAGGTCGATCGCGATCTACCAGTCGATCGCATAGCGATCACTGGTAGATCACACTGTCCTCTCCTCCCACCGCTTCTCTGGATCCCCGCTGCTCTCCCCAGCGGGGATCCGAGAAGAAGTGAAGGAAACCGGTTCCCGCACTCTGAACGCAGGCACATTAGTGCCTGCATTCCGGTCCAGTGCGATCTGCAAAAATAGTGCTCGCAGAATTTTTGCGGATCGCACTGGACTGAAACACAGGCACTGTGGGCGAGGGGCCTGGCTGCGGTGCCATTGACTTCAATGCACCGCCACGCCCCCTCCCGCCCCTGAATGCAGGTGTTTTTTCGATGAGCTCGTCATTTGAAAAGTAGATCTCCAGACGGAAAATAGTTGGCGCCCCTGATATAGACTGTCTACAGTGCTGTGGCCCTTAATGAAAATCAGAGAAAACGGTTTTACGGTCAGTACAAAAAAAATACTATTGAGAAGCATGCTCAGTATGGATAGTGTCTTTAGGAGTATGGATCCAGCTATTTCAGCTCTGCTGATTTCTAGACTCTATAGAATTCTTCAATCAACTGCTAGCTTTCAGACTAGTTTACTAATCTAGGAGTCCCACAAGTGCAGCTGTCAGGCAGAGTTTTTTCCCCAGCCAATGTGCTTATGGATCTCACTGTGTCAGCTCTGTTGACCCGTGGCCTTTGCAAGGAAAGCCTGGATGTGCCCCTTGGTTGCTAGATCCTGGCTCATAGTGCCTTCCAGTATATATATCTGCTCTGGTCTGTCACTGCAGTATCCATCCTTGGTCCAGAGCTGTGTCAATGCTTTCACATGACCATTTCTTCGACTCATTTTCTATGTGAGACTATGCAGGCCAGTCATCTTGACAGGAGTTCCTTCCAGTTTATTAGGCTCTAGGGTGGATAGTGTGGTGCCACTTAAGTGGTGGTCATTGTTTAACACTTAAACACTGGTCTTCTACCGATGACAGACTGGACACTGAGGTCATTAGCATGGTGGATAGGTTGCTGACCATTTCTCTGACTCTTTGCCATCCTTGGGGGAGAATATTTCCCCAGGGGACTTGCAGGCTGCATCTATTACTCGTAAGTAGAGAGGGATGATACTAGGAACTCTGGCCGATATAGCTGTCCCATTAACAATGGAACACACAAGCAGTATAACCCAGTCTTCAGAATCCTGTGTCCTTTGCCTCTTCCTGTCCATGTGATGGGCGTCGGAAAGAGAAGAAATCTTTCCTATGGGGGAAATGCTGCTTTTAAAATCTAACCAAAAAAAATCCTCTGAACGAACAAAGCGATACAGTTTAAAGCCTGTCTAAAGCTCAAAAAAATTATTTGACCATTATTAGTCTTCATTCAGAAACTAACATGCTTTGCAAACTGAATGGCAGTGATGCATTGTTTGTTTTTTTTCTCAAGCTTTGTTTAGAAAAAATATTTTGCTTGTATAACATTATATTAAAATTAGTTTGATGAAAAAAAAATGTTTACTGAAATGTGTCATACAGATGACCCTTGTGTAATGACATCATCGTTCAAAAGAGCGTAGACTGCATGGAGTAATGTGGCATTACTTTGTGCTTCCCTAAGATCTGGCAATAGAGGTAAGAACAGTCCGCCCTAGTAGCACACCCTGCAACCTTACAGCTACAGTACTGCACCAGAGCATACATGGCTGGAAAGACAATGTAGTACATCTACCTGTAACACCTTGTAACTGGCAGAAAGTTGGTTCCCATGTATCTGTAGCTATCATTCTTTTCACACATCCCTTTCAATTTAGATTTTGATAGTGTTGGCATGGCCATGTACAGTTTGTCTTCTGGGAATTCCCTCTATTCCCCAGCACACCTGCCTTGTCATTTTTGTCTTGCAGTCAATGGCCCTATTCATTCTGGATGAAGCATTTTCAGGAAATATAGAAGTATGCAAATTCCATGATAACGTTGTATTAAAAAAAACCTAAACAAATACATCTAAAATAAAAAACACCCGCTGAGCCCCCTGCCTAGTTGCTACTGAATGAAAGGTAATTCAGTATTGTTATGGAAGAATTAATAACATTGTTTGGCTTTTTCTCATGAAACCTTAAAAGCTGAGATAAAGGCAAAACAAATAAGCCCCCCTGGAGCTTTTAGGCATAATGTGCTAGTATGCCCAGCATATTAGCACATTCTGTCAGACTTGCATGACTTATCAGACTTGCATGCCAAACTAGTGCTCTCCAGCGCAGCGCTGCTCCTCTCCAGTGCTTTTATCTTCAGCTCAGTCTTCTTCCAGGTTCCGATCCTTCGACTGCTTGATTGTCTGGGCCCCGATGACATAACTAACATGCATGCACACGGGAGTTACTCTCTCTCTCAGCATGCTGGGTGTATGCGCTGTGCTATGAATCTTGCAAGACTGGCAATGCAGGGTTGTCTTCAGCGGTCACACTGTGTACATACAATATTTTTTTTTTTATCCGATTATAAGAAAGGTTTTACTTTTGTCTTATGTTCAGCTCACGGTCATTATAGCATCTTTCCAATTGACATTGTAGCTTTAGAAAATGTAATGCTGAGTGGCGAAGATGGTCGAGGACAAGGACCTTACCTTTTGGCAAATGCTCCTTCCCCTCTGCCAGTACAGGTCACCTATCCCTACCCCGTACTACCGTGTAGCGCAGCCCTGTGCTCTGGATTTTGAATTTCGCCCGCAAATGACGAGCCATCATTGGTCACCAAGGTCAAGGTCTCTGGGGATAATAACTTCACTGGCAAAGTTCTTCCGGTGGACCTCTGAATTATGTGCTCCTTCTGTTCTTTTGAAGGGTTAATGAGAGAAATATAGGTACTGAGCACCTCCCCAAATTACAGGTCTGGAAAGTAAGAAATAAGTCAGACATTATGATATGCTTACTTGTTTTAGGTCAGTGAATGAGAGTAGAAAAGTAAATGGGTCAACCCACCGGGATAGCAGAGACTGCCTCCAAATTTACTTTAGCGGTAGTCCGTCGTGAAGCGTAATACCTTGGTTGGTAATACATAATAAATGGTTTGACCCTCAAAATTCTAAGACCCCGAGAGTTTCCTTTTTTGGTGTGGTCCCAAATACTCCAATGGAAGATGGAAACTAATTCTATAAGCTGAATGTGGGATAACATTTGTATGTTAGCAGGGGAGAATTGTAATTATATTACTGCAGTGTACAGCCTTTGTTCTCAACTGGTGGGTCGCGACCCTGTGGTCAGTGGGTCGTCGCATGCCTTCCACTTTTCTTGGTGAGAGGCTCCTCAGGCTCCCCCTAGCGCAACACTGTCAGTTCTCTTGCCGCAGCCATTCACAATATGCTGTCCGACACAGAGTGTCAGCTTGAGGTGGGATGAGATGGGGCTATGGCCGCTAGGGAACTCCATACATTTGTGCCTTGCTTACAGCTCCCTCACATGTCCTGTAGAGGTGCCTGGACCGGAGTGACATCACATGTCCTGTAGAGGTGCCTTGACCGGAGTGACATCACATTCTGTCTCCTGGAACCTATACAGGGCACACAAGGAAACTATACAAGCAATGCACATATGGCTGGAGCTTTTTTACAGCACAGCAGACCATACTGGACCCCGGGATCCACTCCAGTTCTTGTAAGGTAGGGAGACTGGGTGGACCTTAAAATAAATGTTTTCAAAATAAAAAAATTGGAGAGTGTGTGAGATTCTGTCTGTGGTTGTGTATGTATGTCAGTGTTTTTGAGGGCCCGTTCACACTAGTACAGTGCGTTAAAACATACCATGCGATTAACGCACTGTGCATTCTGGTGTGGGAGGTGTGTTGCGCTGCCACCCACAGCTTGTATGTACTCACTGGAATGAGCTGTACCCTAATTCCGTGCATTCCATTGCAGTGCGACTCGGGTCGCGACTTAATGACTAAAGACAAATGTGGGTCCTGAGGTTACACAGGTTGAGAACCACTGGTGTACAGGACATATGTACTGCGGATCATGATTTAACCCATTCATGTTAGGGCAGAATTGTGAGCGCCTTCCACAAGCTGAGCACCAAGATGCGATGCAGCGATCCTGCCCAGCGCCGACTACAAGAGGCACCGCGTGAGGCAACAGGGATCAGAGTGAAACTGTGAGTGAGTGAAGCTGGGACGGGGCTGGCTGTAAATCTATTGCTCTAGTGTACTGGACGTGTGTAATGTATATGTAGTACATATATACAGCACATACCTCCACTACACTCCAGCAATAGAGTTACAATTCTCCGCTGCTAACATGAATAGGTTAAATCATGATCCATAGTACAGAAAATGTAGTTGTACTATGGATCATTTAAAGTCACCTGTCCCTTTAAGGAAAAGTATCGGATATTGGTATCGGCAAGTACATGAGGGGAAGTACTTGTACTTGGGCCTGAAAAAGTGGCATCGTCCCGATGTTTTAAGTATTGCTTTGAAAAGTTCCAGTGTGAGAATGCTTTGTTGATGTGGGGCCACCGGCTTATCCAGCATCATCAGTTTGTGCAGTGTTTGCATTTTTTCTGCCAATATGGGTAACTCGGGTTGAATCCAGTATGACATCATGAGCTTCTTGGCAGCTGGAAAGCACAGGTGCTCAAATTTTAAT